TCTTTTTTTGTCGGTCATGGGGCTTGAACTCTGGACTCCGGTGCTGTCTCTGTGCTCTTCAGATCAAGGCTAGCACTCTACCACTTGAGCCACAGTGCCAAGTTCGGTTTTCTGGTGGTTAATTGGAGATAGATTTTCCTGCCTGGGCTGGCTTTGAACCTTGATCCTCAGATCTCAGCCTCCTTAGTAGCTAGGATAACAGGCATGAGCCACCAGCACTCTGCTCATAAGACTTTAACTTTAAAGTTCTTTGCAGTAGAGGAGAAGCTTAAATGCCCACCATTGGAATTCTTTTGTATCTGATGTTTAATAAATAATTTAATTGGGTAAACACGATTTTTTATCTGTTTGCTTTCTGAAAAAGGCTTTCACAATGAAGAACAATATGATAGCAATAGGGAAAAGAAGTGTGGCCAAGAGGGATCTGTAAAAAAAAATGTTGGGCTGGGAAGGTGACTCAGTGGTAGAGTGCTTGCCTTGCATGCATGAGGCCCTGGGTTTGATTCCTCAGCACCACATAAGCAAAAAGAAAAAAAAGCCAGAAGTGGCGCTGTGGCTCAAGTGGTAGGGCGCTAGCCTTGAGCTGAAGAGCTGAGGGACAGCGTCCAGGCCCAGAGTTCAGGCCCCACGACTGGACCCCCCCCCCCCAAAAAAAATGTTAGGGAAGGCAAAAATAAATTGGACTTAAGGAAAAATATAAATTTTGTACACCTAGTGATACTATTAACAGAATAAAATTTTTCTCCATGTAAAGAGAGAAAATACTTGAAATTGATGTATTTGATAAGGGATTGATACCAAGAATCGAAAACTCCTAAAATTCAACAATAAACCAACTCAAAACACAATGACTTGTATGAAAGTAGAAATTAAAACATAGAAGATGTTCAACATTAATCATTAAGGAAATGCAAATTAAAACTACAATGAGCCACTACTGCCTACCTAGTAGGAAGGTTACTGCAAGAATTCAGCCAGTCACTGGCTTCTTGGAGACTGAGATCAGGAGGATCATGATTCAAGGGGAGCTTAGGCAAAAAGTTCATCAAACCCTTTCAACCAACATATAGGTATAGTGGCATGTGACTTTTATTCCAAGTCATGTAGGAGGCTAAGATCAGGAAGATTGTGATTCTAGGCTAATCTGGGCAGTAAAGTTCTCAAGAGTCCAACTCAATGAAAAAAAGCTTGATGTAGTGGTGTGCACCTGTGCACCCATGCAGCATAAAATAGAAGAATAGTGGTTGGGCTATGTTTCCAGATCCTATCTCGAAAATAACCAATACATAATAGGTGGAGATGTGGCTTTGCAGTAGAGCATCTACCTAGCAAATGGAAGACTCTGAATTCAAACCCTAGTACCATAAAAAACAAGAAATTTTTAAAAAGACAAAAAACAGAAATCCAGCTGGGTGTGGTGGTACCCATTTCTAATCCCAGTTACTCAGAAGGCAGAGAGCAGAGGATGGCTATTTGAGGCCATCTTGGGTAAAGCTAATGAGACCCTATCTCAAAAACAAAATTAAAAAAAGGGATGGGAGCAGGGATCAAACAAGACAGGCCTTAACTAGTAATCACAAGGCTAAGGGTTCAAACCTTAGCACTATACAATAAATAAGTATATAGTCCAGAAAACAACCAGTGTTGGTGAGAACGCAAAAAATTTTGATCTCTTATACTGCTGGTAACAATGCAAAATGGTATAGCCATTCCAGGCAATACCTCAAAAACATTAAATATAGGACTACTCTATGAAAAGGTTATTCTACTTCTGTGTCTATACCCAAAAGAAATGAAAGTGAAATCTCAAGGAGACATTTGTAGAAGCATGCTCACAGCATTATTCACAATAGCAAAAACACAGAAGCAATTCAAATGTCCACAGAAAATGAGTAGACAGTGGAACCTTTGTATCTGTGAACTCTACTTCCTTGAATTCAACCAACCATAAATGGAAAGTATTGGAAAAAGAATTACATCTGGGGATTGGGAAGGTGGCTCAGCAGTAGAGTGCTTGCCTCGCATGCATGAGGCCCTGGGTTTGGTTCCTCAACACCACATAAACAGTAAAAAAAGGCCGGAAGTGGCGCTGTGGCTGAAGTGGTGTCGAGCTAAAGAGCTCAGAGACAGCACCCAGGCCTAGAGTTCAAGCCCCACTACTGACCTCCCCCCCCAAAAAAATTACATCTGTAATTACATCTGTAGTGAACACACATATGTTTTCCTTGATATCTGCCCTTACACAATATAGAATGATTTGTATAGCACTGCATTACGTTAAGTATTATAAAGTAATCCTGAGAAAATTTAAAGTATATGAGAGGACATACATAGAATATATGCATAAGCCATTTTATATGAGACTTGAATAACTAATGATTTTGGAATCTGTGGGTGTCCTGGAGCCAGTCTGCCTCAGATACTGAGTGGTAAATGCATATATATACAATGAAATATTATCTAGCTTTAAAAAATAATTTTGATATATGCTACAAAATGGATGAACTTTGAGGACATGCTAAATGAAATAAGCTAAGTACAAAGGGACAACCACTAGATTATTCCAATTATGAGTTATTTAGAGTAGTCCAAAATCATAGAGACAAAAGAATGGTGGCTGTGAGGGGCTGATGTAGAGTTTTTGTTTAGTGAATATAGTTTCACTAGATAAAAGGAGTTATGGGTGATGGTGATGGTTATACAGCATTATGAGTGCATTAAATACCATTGGATTGCACACTTAGAATGATTTAGACAGTACATTTTATGTTGTATGCATTTTACCAATATTTTTAAAAGAAAAGCCTATGTCAGGTACTGGAAATTTTCCCATTTACTCTTCACAATTAATCTATGAATTAGGTTAAAACTGTCATTTTTAAAAAAAGATAAGGGCATGTAAATTATGAGCAAGTAAGTGCCTTCCACTTTAGTTCCAAGATGACTCAAGGTCATAGAGCTTCTCAATTCAGAAGCCAGGATCTGAGTTTAAGCAGCTTAGCTCCAGGAAAAACAAAATAAGGCTTCTCTTCTATTCAGGAGCATACATTATTTTAGGAATAGATGAAACCATAATAAAAGAGATTAAAACCTTCAGTCCATAATGACAGATACAAAATACCTTTGAAAATACTACAGAGATAAACACTCATCTTGTAATAGACATCTATCTATTAGATCCTTCCTGTTCCCATGGCAAAGGACCTACACTCCTGATACTGATCCTTTTTTTTTTTGGGGGGGGGGGGGGTCCAGTCATAGGCCTGAACTCTGGGCCTGGGTGCTGTCCCTCAGCTCAAGGCTAGCGCTCTACCACTTGAGCCACAGCGCCACTTCCGGCTTTTTTTCCCTTCTTATGTGGTGCTGAGGAATCAAACCCAGGGCCTCATGCATGCAAGGCAAGCGCTCTACCACTGAGCCACCTTCCCAGCCCCCTTACAGAACTCTTAAGAGAAAGGAATAGTGTACAAAGAGGAACTTAGGAATAACATTTCACCTCACCTTTCCTCTACCTAAACTCAAATATTAACTGAGGGAGTATTTGAAAGATTTATATTTGCATATTTGAGGATACCTGTAATCAGAAATAGCTTACAAAAGGATTCTGCCAAGGAATGTAGCACATGTAGTTTAAGTTTAAACTTTTTCAGGAACTTTATCGAATACTACCAGTCCTTTTCATCATGTTCCAGCAAGCTATATGAGTATTACCTCATTATGTGAAATGGCATGATTCAAATTAAACTGGGAAAGTATAAGAGAAGTAAAATAAGATAAGCTGTTTTTAAGATGGAGACAATCTTTTGGGCTTTATGGTAAAGGTTTTTGACTTCCTCTCTATTTGTATTGCATAGGGTAAACAAAGTATGGTTTATGTTTGATTAAGGAGATTAAATAAATACTTGAGAGCCTTTGAATGGTGTTTGATACCTAACAGATTAATATTAGCTGTCATTATTGTTAGGAGTGGTGCCTTATTTTGCACAGTGAAGTCAGTAATATGGGAATAAAACTATCTAGCTTCTTGCTTTGTAGCCAAGGCTGGTCTCGACCTTGCAATCCTCTAGCCTCAGCTTCCCCAGTGGTGGGGCTACAGATGCACCACCCGGCCTTACACAAGGCACCAGGTTCTGGATAACGTTTCACGTGCACTAAGTTCTAGTCTCACAAACGGGCAATTGTGTCATTGAGAAGCCCACGGATGTTAAGTATGCAGACTTGGGACTAAGCACTCATAGGACACGGTGATTATTGTGCCCATGAGTTAATGAGCTTTAGGAATCCACGAAATTGTTTTAAGTTTCTTTATAAGGAGACTATAATGCTGGTGAATATGTAGTAATGAAATCAGCCTGGATTTACAAGTAGATTGAATTACACAAAGCGAGACTGTCTCCGCAAAACACAATAACAAACATCCCACATACGCCACACCTGTTCCTTTAGAGACACAGGTCTCACCTCGGGCTTTCCCCGCCTCGGCTGCCAACAGTGAAGGGCAAAGTGTTTTTTTGTTTTGTTTTTACAAGAGCTAAAGAACAATTTAAACGATCTGATTACTGTAGGAAAGACCTTCCCAAGTTGGCACTGTGCCTCTCCCAAAGCCCCGGCGTGTCCTGTCCACCTCGGATCCCACCAAGGTCACTTGGGAACGGCTCCCCCGTGTCCCCGCCCGCGTGGCCTGCGCTCTCTCCCGAGGGTAGCACCCACCGACAGTCTTCGGAAGGCCGCGGGTGAGAAAGCCTCTGAATCCGAGTCCCGTGCCGACTCGGCCGCCAGACAGAGCTGTCAGCGCAGTGACCGAAGCCCGCTGCAGTAAACTCATGGCCGCCATGGCTACGTCCGGCAGAGGGGAAGATGCGAGAGTAACGGGAGCCGGGAGGGCCAATTTACCAATGACGGCAAAGGTGAGATTCGGCCATGTTCAGTTATGGCAAGGTCCTGTTCCGGTTTGCTTCATTCAGTCAGCGTGAGGCGACCGAAGTGACGTCATTTCCAGCGGACGAAGTCCTCCCCCCCGGCCTTTATGAAAAAATGGCTGGAGGCGGCTTGGGTGTATTTTGTAGAAGACTCTCCGCGGTCCTGAGGGTTTCTGGATCGTTCATTACTTCTAAGGTCCCCGCTAGCACAGGGTAAGTGGTGTGAAGAGCAGGTCTGCCCACCTCCTCCACTGGGGATGTTTGTGGCTATGGCGAAAACAGCTTAGGAAAGGAATTTACCCCCCCTGATGGCCAGGCCCGACCTCAGAGAACTTCACCGCTAACACAGGCTTCTGCCTCAATCATGTTGCTGCCTACTGTGGACTAGGCACTTTATGGGCTTTCTTTACCCTGGATGTATTGAATTACAGCTGAAAATACAGAAGCCACTCTTTCGGTGTATGAGTTTAAGAACTTTTTCCTATGAACTGAACTGTGCTTAGGTTTGACTGGATGAAAAAAAGAGTAGGGAGGGTCGTCGCAGAACCTAACGGAAAGTGCTGTTCATTATTTCCAGGTGAAACACATTTGTCTTCTGGATAACCAATCCTTTTTTTGCTTTAGGTAAATATGATTTAGCACATTGCTGTCGAGTGCACGTTACTGAGCATCTATTATGTGCTACTGTATTATTATTTGCACTAACCTTACACATACTCAGTTGCTTTTTATTTTGCAGTGGTTGCAGTTTGAACAGGGTAACAAACGTGAATCAATTATCTCTTCATCCTTTTCTGAAAACAATTCTAGCATTAAGTAAATACCTATTTACTTGCAAACACGTTGGTCAAATGTGTATCGCATTTTGCAGCAGTAACTAAAAACTACCATCAACTCAAAGATGGCAGATTTTCATCCGTTCCTTTTAACCATTCCTATAGACACAGATGTATTTTAAAATAGGATCATATACATATATATACATATTTTGTTTACTACTGTTTTCCCCAATTTTATTTTGTTTAAAATTTTTTCAGCAAGATAGAAAAATTGTTATAGTACAGTTACCAGTCTGTACTTTTATTAACCAATCATTACTTTGTTAATTTTTATATATCTATATACTTTTGTTCTGAACTATTTGAGGCTTATATTTCCAACATCATGACATACATCTTCTAAGAGCAAGGACCTTGCTTTACTACATTACAACGATTGTACTCAGAAAATACTGTTATAACACTAGGATTATTTAATATATGTCCTGATAATGCCTTTGTTAATTTTCTTTTGCATGCAGGATCCAGTAATGCTCAGTTTATTGGATTAGTTATTTTATGTTTTCAACCTTTTATTTTTTTTCAACTAGATTATTTTTTGTTTTTAATTTCATGATACTGAATTTTTTCCTACCTCCATACGATTTGAACTTAAAGCCTCACAGTTGCTAGGTGAGCACTCTACTAGTTCTGGCATATTCCCATCTGGGTAGTTTTGTTTTTTAAGTTTATCTTTTAGGTAAGGTGTTTTTCTTTGCCCAGGCTGTGCCTCAAACCATGAGCCTCCTACTTTCACCTCTTGAGTGTCTGGGACCACAGATATGTGCTACCCTTCTTCTTTTTTTGTTTTTTTTTCTGTCGTAGGGCTTGAAATCTGGGTCTGGGCGCTGTCCCTAAGCTCTTCAGCTCAAGACACACTCTACCACTTGAGCCAAGGCACCATTTCCAGTTTTCTGATGGCTAATTGGAGATAAGAGTCTCATAGACTTTCCTGCCGGGTCTGGCCTTGAACCTTGATCCTCAGATCTCAGCCTCCTGAGTAGCTAGGATTACAGGTGTGAGCCACCAGCCCTGACACGTCTTTTTTTTTTTTTTTTTAACCTTTAAGTTATTGTACAAAAGGGTTTCAACTCAACATGTCAGTTTTTGAGTACAGTGCATCTTGCTTGATCACTGTCATCTCTTTCATCACTCTCCTCCATCTTTTCCAACCCTTCTTAGTCCCTCATTCCCCTAGTCCCATTCACATATATACTTTGAATATTATGATTACATTTTCCCACCCTTCCTTTTTTCATTCATTTATGCCTCTCCCCTTGACATCCCCTCTCACTGACACCTGGTGTTCCAGCATCCTGGTATTTATTTTGTTAGACTATAAGTTGTTCAGAGGAATTATACCACTGGAATTCTCCCTTGAATATGCCATACTTTAGTTAATGCATTTGTCTATATATGCATATGACCCTGGATATGTTTACATAGATATTTGTAAATAAGATAAAACACCATCATTCTTGGCTTTTTTTTAGGTGGGCTTTTGAGTTGGCCGTTAACCTGATTAGCTAGGAATACAGATGTGAGCCACCATATTGTAGCAATGTTGACACTTTAAAAAAAATAAGATTAGCTTTTTAAAAAATATCATTCATTTGGATTTAGCTGATTGTTTCAACTTTAATATTCTTGGTAGGAAAAGAGCACTTATGGTACTTTACATCATTTTGTTTTTGTAAAATGGTTTCCCCAAGTTTTTAGATATTATTTAAAACAATTTCTAAGTTTATTATGCATTATAATTTTAACCATTCCCTAATTGCATATTCGTGTAATTGTTAAATTTTGATGTCACATAAAACACTTTCAATAGAAAATTTGTAGGTGCCTCTCCATAGTAATTTCTGTAGTTGAAATTCTATAGTTTCTAGATGTGCAGTTACAGAATGAAAGGAAGAAGCATTCTGGACCCCAAATACATGATGTAAAATTGGCCTTCAGATTGTTTTGTCTGCTTCTAGATTTTATTTGCCATAGTAGAATGAAGATTAAAAAGGTCACCTTAAAATATAATTTCTAAATTACAGGATAGCAACTTATACAAAGTAACATAAATTTTCTGTAGCATTTTAAATTTTTTACTGCTTCTGGTATAACAATTCTGAGTCTTTTTTTTTTTAATATTGCAGTGAGGAAATGATTCAGTTTATTGCTCATAAGATCCAGATATTTTAAAGGTTTATTCATCTATTTATGTGTGTTCAGTTGCAGGTTTTCTCTTAGTTTCCTGCATAAGAGTGTACCAAATGTCACTTCTTTGCACCGACCTAAATTACTTCATACCACATTGTCAACAAGAGGACTAGAAGAATTTTTTGATGACCCAAAGAATTGGGGGGAACAAAAAGTGAAATCTGGTAAGATATTTAATTTAGGTCTGGGAATGTGGCTTAGCAATAGAGTGCTTGCCTAGCATGCATGAAGCCCTGGGTTTAATTCCTCTGCACCAAATAAACAGAAAAAGCTAGAAGTGGTGCTGTGGCTCAAGTGGTAGAGTGCTAGCCTGGAGCAAAAAGAAGCATTAGGGACAGTGCTCAGGCCCTGAGTTCAAGCTCCAGGACTGGGAAAAAAAAAAAGTTTAAATATTCAATATATTTGCTGAATCATTTGTCATTGTACAAGTATTTCTCCAATTTAGGAATTAGTTAGGTATCTCCTTTCATCTTTTTTATTTTTTTCCTTTTTTTTGAGACTAGGAAAAAAATTCACTCGTAGAGTGAATTGTTCCTTGGAGGTTGGCAGAATTGTTCCTAGAAGAGAAGTAGATAAAAACTATTAACTGGGGTGATTTTTAGGGTTTATTTTAGATCCCATTTTTAAGTGAAAATTGAAAGTTTATATTACAGATATTTTTGTATTCGTGTGTGAAAATGCAACCACTAACTTTAACAACCTTTGAAGGCTGTTGACAGAATACTGTTATTTAAGCTCTTAATTTTATATTACATAATATAATAATGCTATTCTATATTTTACAGGTTTAGAGGTTAACAGATTTATTGTGACCAAAAGAAAACAGCTAAACACATTTTGCATTTTAAAAAATATATTTAATATATTTATATTTATTAAATAGTTATACAAATGGGCTTTAATTTCAGAAGTTAGGTTATGAGTATGATGCATCTTAATCAATGTCACCCCTTCCTTTGTTCTTCATTTTTCCCCATCCTGTCCCTACCTTCAAGTTACATGGTTAAGTTTTTACATAGTATACACTGAAAATAAGAACTCTTTTTGCTCACCCTTCCTCGCTCCATTTGTATAGACCCTCCACTCCCTTCTTATCGTCCTCCCACAACATGTTTCAGCTTCCTGGTATTTTGATAAATGGTTGATTAGTTGCTCGAAGGAGTTACACTGTTGGACTCTTCCCTTTAGTCAGTTTGTGTGTATATGCATATACCCTGTATATGTTATCATGTGTATTTGTATTTTAGATCTAATATCCACATATGAGAAGAAAAAAATGTGTGATTTGTCTTTCTATGTTAGACTTACTTAACATAATTTTTCTAAGTCCATTTATTTCATGTTTTGATTTATAATTTTAATAGGAGCTGCATGGACCTGTCAACAGTTAAGGAACAAAAGTAATGAAGATTTACATAAACTTTGGTAGGTGCACTAAGTACAGTGTTACCTGGGTGTTAGAAATAGTCACAGTTTGATAGTCAGGTGACAACTATATATCTGTTTGAAACAGCTACAATGTGATAGGTAACAGCTATGCATCTGTTAGAAGCAGTTATAGTGTGATAGGTGACAACTGTATACCTGTTTAAAACAGTTATAGTGTGATAGTCAGGTAACAACTGTGCACCTGTTTGCTGTAAGAAATTGAGCAAAGTGATTTGTTTCATAGTACTGTGGATTATAATATGATGTATTAGATCATGAGATTATAAATATGAGATTTATAAATATGAAAAATGTTAGATTAAGCTATGATATATTATCATGGTTTTGAAGTAAATGGGAGTTTAGAAATTTTACTATAATTGTTACCAGTCACATATTTGTCCTAGCAATTTCAGTAAATTAACAATAAAATGAAGTTGAGGAATACTTGGTCACATTCACACTTTTCTCCTTTATATTTCCTTTTCGTTGGTCTGGATTCTTCTGCCTATTAGTTTATATTAGTTATTCATTGGAGGGTTATTTTATTGGGGATTTAGAATTTTCTGGCAGAGTCTCCTGATGAATTTAAGTGGGTTACATCTTTGTTGACATTTATCCCATAGGTGTTCTGTTTAATCATACTTATGTTTAAAATGGGAAATTTTACATGAGGAAGACTTCTAGCTTCCTTTGAATAATCAGACTGGTCTGTCCACACTGTCCCTGTCTTCCCACATGGTCTGTGTGGCAGTTCTTCCTAGTAGATGGAGCAGTGTACACCAGGGCTCTCGTGCACCCTGCTCCTCGTTTAACCAATCCACTTCACTCAGGATTGTTATCTGCCTTGGCACTTTAGTAGGCATGCGCTACAACATTCAAAAGGCTATTTATGTTTTGGCACTTTTTTTAAAAGTCAGGCTAGTAATCCCAATACTTAGGAGGTAGAGGCAGAAGAATGGAGATATTGGGGCCAACCTTGACTCCATAGTAAGTTCCAGGTTAGCTTTGCCTACATACTGAGACCTTTACAAAAAGATTTGGAAAGTGCTTTTAAAAACCACTAGTGAGGTGTGTTTGTATGTGTGTATTCATCATAGACAATAAGTTGCATTAAAGCAGTATTATTTTAGGTTATCAATAAGAGGATCATTACTGTACTTTAATGTTACTTTACATTCATTGTGGCTAAAACCAGTCTTCTGTCACCCCTTTTCCCCAGATTGTTCTCTCTAATACAAAGTACCGTGATTCCTTTCATCTGACTTTCAATGCCTTCCACAGTTGGACCCATAGAATCTGTCCCCACTTTAACTGTACTTCATTGGTACCTTTGATTATAATTGCTTTACTCTCCTTTCCATCTTAACAAATCCTAGCTTCTTTGTGAAGCTTTCCTTAGTCATCTTAGCTAGGAGAGAATATTTCATATCTAATTAATTATTCTGATACTTCTCTCTCCCACCCAATAACTACATCACATTACAAATTCAGAAGCAGAATGAATTTTAAAAATAGAATGGATTTTGTATACAGTGAATCCCAAGACCCAAAACCAGAATTGGCTAAATGACCCCAAATACCTTACTTCTCTCAGCTTTACTTATTTATTTACTCATTTATTTGTGTTGGTACTGGGATTTGAACTCAGAGCCTGGGCACTGTCCTTGAGCTTTCCTACTCAATGCTAGTGCTCTGTCATTTGAACCACATATCTACTTCTGACTTTTGGTGATTAATTGGAGATAAGAGTCTCTAGGACTTCCTTGCCTGAGCTTGCTTCAGATCATCTCCTCACATCTAAGCCTCTTGAGTAGCTAGTATTACAAGTGTGACTGGGAAGGTGGCTCAGTGGTAGAGTACTTGCCTTGCATGCCTGAGGCCCTGGATTCAATTCCTCAGCACCACATAAGCAAAAAGAAAAACAGCCCGAAGTGGCACTGTGGCTCAAGTGGTAGAGCGCTAGCCTTGAGCTGAAGAGCTGAGGGACAGCACCCAGGCCCAGAGTTTAGGCCCCATGACCGGACCCAAAAAAAAAAACAAAAAAAACAAAAACAAGTGCGAGCCATGGCTTTTGTTTCTTTATTTAGGAAGAGGAAATAATATCAACTTAAAAGGTTGGTTTGCAAATTAAGTGAAATACTAGATATAAAATGTTCAGCACACTGCCTGGCATGTGAGTAAATGTTATTTACCTTCCTTTTTTGACCACTGAAGTGAAGAACCATGTTTTAGGCTTTTTTTAAAGTACTTGCAACAAATATGTGAGCACAGCAAGGTTTATTAAACATATAAATAAAGGCATATCTCTGTATATCCTGCATGAGTTACCCTCAGCATTATTTTGCAAAATAAAAAACATGGCAGAAAAAAAAACAAAGAAAGGATTATTCTTTGTGATGATATTCTGGATATTAAGAGTTCTAAAGGATTTCAAGTACAGATCACTAATTTTGATGTCAAAAGTTGCAACTTTATTCACATAACCCTAGAGTAGCATCCTAACTTGTCTATTCTTTGATTAGGTATGTCCTACTGAAAGAAAGAAACATGCTTCTAACTCTAGAGCAGGAGGCCAAGCGGCAGAGATTGCCAATGCCAAGTCCAGAACGGTTAGAAAAGGTAAGGTTAGTGGGTGGCTAGACACTCCTGTGGCAGGGTGAAAGCCAAAAGAAGTATCTGCCTCCTGTATTTCTTGTCAAATAGATATGTTATTTTACCTTGATTTTCAATAAATTTAGTCAACTATGCAGCCATCGCAACTATTGTTTTAGCACATGTCTTTCATCTCACAACTGTACACTATAGTGACTCTTCATTCCTACCTGCAACTCCCAACATACAGGTGTATAGCTCTGTGTGTGTGTGTGTGTGTGTGTGTGTGTGTGTGTGTGTGTGTCTGTGTGTGTGTGTGTAATTTGGTTTCCTTTTTTTTTTTCATTTGGCAGTATAATGCTGTGGTGTGAACTCAGGGCGTTGTGTCTCCACTTAGTCATGCCTTAGTCCTGTTCTTTACTGGTTATTTTTAGGATAGAGTCTTGAGAGCTGTTTCTGTCTAGACTAGCCTCAAATGGCAATCCTTCTGCTTTCAGACTCCTGAGTAGCTAAGAATTACAGGTTTTTTTTGTTGTTGTTTTTTGTTTTTTTTTACTGTGGCATAAAAATATAAAATGAGGAAGTGGTGCTGTGGCTCAAGTGGTAGAGCACTGGCCTTGAGCTGAAGAGCTGAGGGACAGCATCCAGGCCCAGAGTTCAAGCCCACGACCAACCCCCTCCTCCCCCACAACATATATATATATATATATATATATAATATATATATACTTAAGGCAGTATATATAATATATATATACTTAAGGCAGTATATATATTATATATATAATGAAACTTACTGCCTTAAGTATTTTAAAATATATAGTTTAATGGTGTTAAGAAAATTCATATGTTTGGAAAAAAATTGTTAGTTTAAGTATGCCTTCTTCATTAAAAGAAAACTCTTGTTTTCCTATTCTCATTCCCAATAATCAGTCTTAAGTGTTTCTCATTTATTCCTCAGAGGAATAATATTTGGCCCTTTAGCTTGACATATCTCATCGTGATGATCTTCACTTTCCTTCATTTTCTTGCAAATGACCTATATAATTTAATTTTCTTTATGCCTGTATAATATTCCATGGTTTTTATGTATCATATTTTTAGGTGAGTACCTCAGATGATTCCACAGTTTGTATATTGTGTACAGAGCTGCAGTAAACTTGTATCTTTTGGAATGTTTATTTGTAGACCTGTACCTGCTTATTTTTATCTATATAAACTTAGCTATACTGTATATACTCTCATGAAATTAACATTTTTACCCACCCATATAGCATAGATTTCCTTCTTTTTATGTAGATATACCTCTTTTTTAAATATTAAGATATCTTTCCATGTAAAATTAAAATGTTTTTATATTTTCAAGTATTTTTCCTAGATTGCTTTGAAGATCAATACTATTGATTTTTCTGTGTCATGGTACATAGTGAGAACAGAACTCAGGTTTTATGATACCTTTAGTCCTGCTGCCTAACCTTCAGTTTCCTGTCTTCACACCAGTCATAATGTACTACCACATTGCCTTTCAGAAGAAAAGACATTGAATCATTGGAGAAAGTTTTAAAAAAAAGTATGCAGTAAATCTTCAGTTATTTTCTGTAATTAATGAAAAGGCTATTGTGGCTTAGTGAAAGTTTTTTATTTATTTTTAAGTTTTAACCTTTTTAATTTTGACCTAATGTTAGATATACAAAAAAAGCTACATGTACAGTACAAAGAATTCTTGTATATCCTTCCAAGATTTTAGATGTAAATATTTCACAATATTTGTGCTATCATCTCTGCTTTTCCCATTTTAATTTGTTCTCAGCTTTTGAGAGTAAGTAATGTATGTATCATGTTACTTTATTATAAAAATTTAATTTTATATTTAAAAATCAACAATAATCTCTTAGTCTGTATAATTCTTAATATGTGTGTACACATGCATGCATGTGCATGCACTGGTCCTTGAGTGTGAACTTAGGGTCTGGATGCTGTCCCTAAGCATTGTTTGTTGAAGGCTGACAATCTTCCACAACCACAGCTCCACTTCCTACTTTTTGGTGATTAATAGTAGGAGATAAGTGTTCTATGAATTTTCCTGCCCATGCTGCTCGAACTAACCTCAGTTCTTGAAAGATCTCACCCTCTTGACTAGCTAGGATTACAGGTGTGAGCCATTGGTGCCTGGCAGCCACTATCTAATTCTTAAATTGGGAAATTAACATTCATATAATAGTATTATATATAACATACAAAATATGAAATATATTAAATATTTATGTTATATAAATATTATATGTAAATTATATATTGTATATGTATCTTAATATATGGAACTTACATAAAGAGATCTTATTCCAATTTTTTCAAGTCTCCCAACCATCTTTTTTTTTTTTGTGCAAGTTCTGGGGCTTGAACTCGGGGCTGGGACTTGAAGTCAGGGCTTGAGTGCTGTCCCTAAAGTTTTTTGCACAAGGCTAGTGTTCTACCACTTGAGCCACAGCTTCACTTCCAGGTTTTTTTTGGTGATTAATTGGAGATAAAAGTCTCCAATTGGGCACTGGTGCCTCACACCTGTAATCCTAGCTACTCAGGAGGCTGAGATCTGAGGATCATGGTACAAAGCCAACCCAGTCAGGAAAGTCTGTGAGACCCTTATCTCCAGTTAACCACCAGAAAACCAGAAGTGGTGCTGTGGCTCAAGAGGTAGAGTGCTTGCCTTGAGCTGAAGAGCCTAGACAGCGCCCAGGCCCAGATTTCAAGCCCCAACCGACAAAATAGTCTCATAAACTTTCCTGCTGGGGTAGCTTTGAACCACAATCCTCAGATCTCAACCTTTTGAATAGCTATGATTACAGGCATGAGCCACTGTGCTGACTAATAATGTCTCTTATAGAAAAAGAAACTAGATCATGCATTTTCAGTTTTTTTTTTCTTTTTTGTTTCTTTCTCTTTTATCTAGAGATTTGGACTTTCCCTTCTGAAATGGGTTTTGTTGTTGTTTGGCCTTTTGAGATAAGATTCTCACTACATAGTCCAGGTTGTCCTGGATCTCAAGATTTTCCTGCCTCCAATTCCAAAACTTCATATTAGGGGCCTTGCACACTAACACCTGGCTTAACATTTACATTTTTTTAAAAAATGTATAGACCAGTTCCTTAATTTGAATTTGTCTGAGGTTTTCTTTTTAATTGTGAAAATACCATACAGGGGTTACAATTACATGGGCAAGGTAATGAGTACATTTCTAATCAAGCATGTTGTCTCCTCCTTTCTGAGGCTTTTATAGTATTGATAGAGATAAGATTGTCATTGTGGGCTGGGAAGGTGGCTCAGTGTTAGAGCACTTGCTTTGCATGCCTGAGGCCCTGGGTTCGATTCCTCAGCACCACATAAGCAAAAAGAAAAAAGCCGCAAATGGCGCTGTGGCTCAAATGGTAGAGCGCTAGTCTTGAACTGAAGAGCTGAGGGACAGCTCCTAGGCCTAGAGTTCAGGCCCCACGACTGAACCCCCCCCCCAAAAAAAAAAAAAAAAAAGATTGTCATTGTAAGATTTTATTATTGTCAGAGACATACTATATTTGCATTGTATAGATTAGGAAGCAAAGTGCTAATTCATTCCATTTCTGATTATGTCAGAATTAATAACTTAGTTAAGGTGTTTTCTGTCAGACTTCTCCACTATATAGTTATATTTATTTTTGAATCTAAATAAGTATTTTAAGAAGTACTTTGAGGTCATGCATATATCCTTTAACTAGTTAAAGTATTCTAAGAACTCAAATGGTCTTTCTTTCTTGCTATTGTTTCTAACATATAAGATCATTTCTTTGTTGCTTTATATGTCCCTCCCCCACGGTATAACCCCTGCTTTCACGGTATTTGATGTTGGTATAATTTGTGGAGGGGAAGGGAAAAACAAATCGTTTAAATAGGGATACCCATTGCAACAATGAGATGTACAAGACGTTATGTCGAAAAACGAACTTTATAACTTTGGCAGGGGGTGGGAGGTGTTGGGGTGAGATGGAAAGGGATGGGAAAGGGAAACAGAGGAGGAGGCAACAATGCTTGATAAGAAATGTACTCATTATCTTGCCCATGTAATTGTAACCCCTCTGTACGGTATTTTCACACAAAAAAATTATTAATAGAAAAAAAAAAGAATGGAGATAGTAGATACACTTGACTCATTCCTGATTTTAGAGGAAACAGTTTTGGTATGTCCCCATTTAAGATGTCAAATATAGGGCTGGGAAGGTGGCTCAGTGGTAGAGTGCTTGCCTTGCATGCATAAAGCCCTGGGTTCGATTCCTCAGTACCACATAAGCAAAAAGAAAAGAAAAGCCGGAAGTGGCGCTGTGGCTCAAGTGGTAGAGCACTTGCCTTGAGCTGAAGAGCTGAGGGACAGTGCCCAGGCCCAGAGTTCAGGCCCTATGACCAGACTCAAAAAAAAAAAAAAAAAAAGATGTCAAATATATCTTTGTCATATATAACCTTTATTATTAAGGTATACCTATAATTTCTTCAGAGCTTTTCTTATTGAATTTTATCAGAGAGCTTTTCTGCATTGAGAGGATAATATTCTTGTCCTTGATTCTGTTTATCTACTGGAGTTGCAGTCACTGTATATGTAGTGTTTGAAATCTATTATTGTGCTCAAAGATAGCTTACATACCCGTTTAAAAACTGCTCACAGTGGGCAAATGAATAGAGAGAGGAACGGTGCGCAAATACATCATAATATTCATTGTACATATGTGAAAATGAAAGTAGGTAATGAGATGGGTGGGGTTGGGATAGATGGAGGGGAGAATGATGGAAGGGATGACACTGATCAAGATGCACTGTATTCATAAATTGACAAGTTGAATGGAAATCCCCTTGTACATCTATTTAGACATAATTAAGTGCATAAATACAAAAAGGAAAAAATGCTTAGTGTTTACAACTATGAAAATGTTTGACTCATCTGACATTAACATCCCAAATATGAATAATTATTTCTAAACCAACACATATTACTGTCAGTATATTATGTACAATAAAATTATACAATAAGACTTTGTTTTTTTTTTTTTTGTCAGTTGTGGGGCTTGAACTCTAGGCCTGGGTGCTGTCCCTGAGCTCTTCAGCTCAAGGCTAGTGCTCTACCACTGGAGCCACCATGCCACTTCCAGTTTTCTCATAGTTAATTGGAGATAAGAAAGTCTTGCACTTTCCTGACTGGGCTGGCTTTGAGTCGTGATACTCAGTCTCAGCCTCCTGAGTAGCTAGGATTACAGGCATGAGCCACCAGCACCCGGCTTCACATAAGAATCTTAACAAGAAAGAGGTAAAAAGTTCTAGTAGTATCTGCTTGCATGTCACAGCATCTTTGAGCTTAATGTCAGATCTGATTCTTCTTTCCTGTAATAGTTACCAAGCAGGCAAGAAAACTGTGTGGATATAGGAAGAAAACAGTGAAGCTAAAATATGGTTTTTAGTATAACAGAAGTAACAAATGTTACTAATTAATCAAATTCTGAAATACAATGGAGTCTCCAAAATAAAATCTGTGCAAGTATATCCCATTCCAACAAAACTAATATATGGAAATACAAAGTAAACAGATTTTTATTGAAATGAAACTATACACTTCTTAAAGTTATTGAAAGTGATACTATAGACACTCATATAATCATCCTGTGCTAAATAGAGCTACTTGATATAATGGTCCCTTGATAAAAATATTCAACATGGACTTTCTGAAGCATAATTCCTTTTATGTTCTCTACCTTTAGAATTCTATTGTAGGTGATTGTTGAAATTGAATCTTTTTGTCAGGTAATTGAGTCCATGGATGCATTGGATAAAGTTGTCCAGGAAAGAGAAGATGCTTTACGGCTTCTTCAGACTGGTCAAGAAAAAGCTAGACCTGGTGCTTGGAGAAGGGACATCTTTGGAAGAATCATTTGGTACATAGATTATATTGTGACTGGAGAAGAAACCCTATGTGTCATTCCCTGCCCAGTATCTCTTAGGAAAAATTCATTCTTGAGATATACTAGAGATGTATATAAGAAGAGATCCAGAACCTCTTTGGAATACCAAGCTATGAATGAAGGTCACTAGCTCAGATATATATATGTATATATATATTTATTTATGTGTGTGTGTGTGTATATATATATATGATATATACAGTTTACACATATACATAGTTTATTGTGACAGTACTAGGTATTGGGGCCTGAATCAGGCCATTTCCCTCAAGCTGATTTTCCACTACTTGAGTCACAGCTCCATTTCCTAGACTGGTTATTTATAACAGTGGTTCTTGTCTTATATGAATCATGACTTTTTGATAATCTGCTGAAAGTTACGGATTTTTTTCAGTATATATACACATATAATTTAGATTATTATATTCAAAAGCTAATTTCAGGACACACTTCTCTCTTTGCCCCTTATATATAAAAAACTGAAAAGGTTGAAGAATACGGTTGTACGTAACAGTTTCAATTTGTTCCTGTTGCCATCAAGATAAGCGCTAAGCCAAATTATGAAACATTTTACTGCCATCCTTCATGGTATGCTTTTCTGCTACATACCGTTCCCTCACCTTGCTCAGAAAATTGGAAAGGATCCGATGTCAACATTCTCACTGAGGTATAAATAATTGATATAGTCCAGTGTAAAGAAACCTGTAATCTGGGTTTTATTTACATTTGAGTGAGCAGCTTAAATGAAGCTTTGTTGGTATTATTTTATACATTAGTCAGCAAAGTGCAGAAGGCATCTCAGGTGGTTAAAAACCCTCTCTGGTCCTCATACTAAGTTATTGTAATAGAGTTAGTAGATGAGATTTCTTGTATTCCAATTTAGAGGATGTTTGGATCCAAGTTACATTATGTGTAGCCATCTAATCCAGCATAGAAAAAGAAATTGCCAAACATCCCAATAAATAGCTAAAGTCTGGGAGAATAATTATTGCACTATAACAATTGGGAAAAAACTTTTAGTTTTAGGTGGCTCATTCCTGTCCTGAGATCCAAAGGATGGCAGTTTGAGGCCAGCTCAGACAGAAAAGACTACTAAACTCCATCTTGAAAAACATAACCAGCTAACAGCAGAGCTCAAAGTGTGGTTAAAGTGGTAGAATGACAACTGAGCAAGAAAGCCAAGCAAAGGGCAAGTCTCTGAATTCAAGTATTATCAAGTATTCCTGTACTGACAAAACAAAACTCAATCCTTTGGTTTCATTTTTCTCCTGATTTTATTTGGATTAATTCATTTAAAGTCAATTAGGAAAGAGTGGGAAATTAGGGAAGTAAAAACATTGTTTCTTTTAAGTCAATAACTTTTTACTTTATTGGCAGGCACAAGTTCAAGCAGTGGCCTGTACCTTGGTACCTAAATAAAAGATACAATAAGAAACGATTCTTTGCAATGCCTTATGTGGACCGTTTCATCAGGTGAGTCTAAGTTCCCTTTAAAACATCTTTGTATCAGATGACTTTTTAATGCTTTCATCTCATTGCACAAGTAATACCTGTTTATTAGGAAAAAAAGGAAGATCTGGTAACAAAAAAGTCATATATAATTTCAACATCCTGAAATAGCCAGATAACATTGTAGTATATATCTTTTCAAAAGTTTTAGTATACTTCTATTCATCCATCTATATGAATGTAAATAGAATCAAAATGGTTCAATTGTATAAAATGTGAGCTCATATATTCCAAGGTTAATGAAAGGGAGCTAAAGTGTAGGGAAATGTGTTGCATTATGTCTGATTTCATGCAATCCTGCAGAAGGCTCTCCTGTTGTTTAGAGAACAGCTGATAGCTATAAAAAGTAAGTAACATTTATTTTAGCTAGTTAATACATGGAATCCATATTCAGGAGTAGACAAACCAGAAGAGCATTTAATACCCTCAAAGTATAGGCAGATGGGAAAATTGCATGCTTATTGTTTCCTGTTTCCATTGCTGTGGAAAGAGAGGTGATCAGGGAAATGTAGGCATCCTGACTAAAGTTGCCAGACCTTTACCTAGAATTCAAAGCTGGGAAAGCAGCTAGAAAGTTAAAGGTCAAATATTAGCAATATAAGAATCACAGCTTTAAAAAGGAAAGAAATGTAAATATCAACTGATGTGGAAAAAATAATTGTATTGTCAAAGTTCATAGAATTCACAAACTTTATAGACCATGATAATGACAATTTGCCTTGTGAAGGTTAAAATGTGTTTGTGACTTTAACTAAATTATCACTATTCCACAATACTGTTAAATATGTAAAATTTATGTAATCACCTAATCTCAATTTAAAAAAAAGAATCACAGCTTTAGTCATGTGTGATGGTGCATACCTGTAATTCCAGCACTCAGGAGACTGAAGCAGGAGGCTTATGAATTTGAGGCCATCACGGGACTCGTAGCAATATCTTGTCTTAATATGAAACCAATCAACCAACCAACATAAAAAACAAAACAAAGAACTCCCACAGTTTTTAACAACTGTCTTTGATGTAACATTTCTACATTCAGCAAGAGTTCTTCAAAGATTGACACACACATGCCCAGAGAATTTATTTTCATACCAAAAGATAAGCAACCAAAAAACAAACTAGTAGGGAGAATATTTAACCTGAGCTTTAAAGTGGTTAATCTACTTTAGAATCAGTTTACAAATATTTCTATTTTCCACTCTGAGCCAGGTACTTCTCACTTTTGTCTGTAGTGAATCCATCTGTGTGGGCCCCGACAGCAGTTATCTTTTTCATTACCACTGTTCTAGTTGACTGGTAACAAGTCACTCCATCCTTGATTTCCATCCTCCTACACAGGGCCAGGTCTGTCTTTTCTCCTACTGTCTCTACCTAGTACCGTCCATCATCAAATTGAATACTGAGCATTGTCCTCAGTCCATTGAGTAATGGACTGGTTAATTTTCCTTTTGTTACATCAGTGCTGATCAAAACTGTATAGTAGCTTCTTGTCCATAGAATAAAATCCAAATTCTTTCCTTCCTGGCATTTTCAGTTTAATGTTAGCTGTTAATCCTTCAAAGAATTTTCATCTTGCTTTATGATTACACCTTGCTAAGCCACTTCTGTTCTTTTGGTTTTGAAATCTGTACTATCCACATTCAAGACCTAATTCAGAAAGCAAGCAATTTATCTGACTGCATTGTTGTTTTTCTGTGCAAGTTCTCCAATTGATCATACAAAGACTTTCACAGGAATGTGAAAATTGATAATCCCAGTATCACTTCTCATGCTTTATCCACATTTGAATGTTTGTTTGTTGTGGTCTGGGGGATTGAACTCAAGAGCCTCATGCTCCAGCATTCTACCACTTGTGCTGTATCCCTTGTTCTATTTTTATAAGGTCTAACCAACTTTGCCCTGGCTAGCCTCAATCCACAAAATCAGTTTCCACCTCCCTAGTCTGGTATTTTTTTAAACAGTCTTAAGAGAATATAACATAATCTCCAGAACACTAAATAGCAAATTTGTATTATTCCAGATGGGTTTATTTTCTGTAAATAGCTAAAATTTAATTATAACAAAGATTGATAAATGGGGAATTTTTGTTTATTGTCTTACTTTATACACATATATATTTATTTATTTATAGTTGTCTTCAACCGGTCTTACCCTATAGCACTAGCATGCTGTAAAAGTACTCAGCACAATCTCTTTTGTATTTTATTCCTATAGATAAAAAAGTACTTGTTTAGTATAAGTGTGATACCCATGGATTGATTTATCATGTTTAACTCTGACGAACTCCAAGTTACTGGAGGCACACATGCATTATGTCCTAACACGCTCATGTGTGGGCTTACACTCAGACAGCAATTTAGTCAGTGCCTGTTTCTTCAATGCATAGTTTTTTACCATGTGTAGGAAAAGTGGTAAGCTAGGGCAACTGGTATTTCAAAGTAGGGAACTCAGCCAGGCACTGGTGGCTCATGCCTGTAATCCTAGCTACTCAGGAGGCTGAGATCTGAGGATCAGGTTCCAGTCTGGGCAGGAAAGTCTGTGAGACTCTTATCTCCAATAAACCACTCAGAAAGCCAGAAGCTGCACTGTGGCTCAAGTGGTAGAGTGCTAGCCTTGAGCTGAAGAGCTGAGAACCAGAGCCCAAGCCCAGAGTTCAAGCCCCACGACCAGACCGAAAAAAAAAAAAAAGGGAATTCACATAAGCCTCACATACATCTCAGAATGTGAAATATATACTCAACAAAATGTTTTTAAAATAAGGTAGGAAAGTAGTATTGGTCATGTTAGGACTGAACTTTAATTCAGACAGTTCGACTTATAAGATCTATATATCCCTTTCTTGTCAGAAATTAGTACAGTTGGTATAGGGTTACAGATGCCTTTTGCTTAACACATTTATCTTTTGACTTGTGAAGGTTTACAGTAATAAAGTTCAATAATGTGAATAAAACCCCAAAAACTGAGACACATAGAGGTGAGGTGTTCATATAACTGATTTGAACACGTTTTGATAGTGCTGAATAACAGGGAACTAATTCTGCATAAATTATTATGTTTTTATTCTAGATTGAGACTTGAGAAACAAGCTCGCATCAAAGCAAGAAAGAGAAGTTTAGAGAAAAAGAAAGAAAAATTTCTTAAGGAAAAATTTCCACATCTTTCTGAAGCCCAGAAGTCAAGCGTTGGCTAAGTCTGAACTCTTATTAATGTGTTGCTTTTTCTTGCAACATTCTGTATACCGAAGTAAATAGATATATGTTAAGTGGTTAATAAAGAATTTTTTAAAGTCAAGTGACTTACTAGTAGTTGTTCTTATGGTTAACATAGCATGTTAAGTCTGGGAAGTTGTCTCGCTTCTACTGTTTATTTTTGGGGCTGGTACTGAGGCTTGAATTCAAGAACTTCATCCTGTTACTTGGCTTTTTTACTCAAGGCTGGCACTCTATCACTTGAGCTATATCTCCACTGTGGCTTTCAGCTGGTCAACTGGAGGTTAAGAGTTTTATGGACTTTTCTGCCCAAGCTGTCTTTGAACTGTGATCCTCAGGTATCAACCTCTTGAGTAGGCATAAGCTACCAAAACCTGGCTCTCTTCCACCAAAAAAAAATTTTTTTTTTCATGTCAGTGGTGGGACTTGAACTCTGGGCCTGGGCACTATCCCTCAGCTCTTCACCTCAAGGCAAGGGCTCTACCTCTTGAGTCACAGCGCCACTTCCAGTTTTCTGTTGATTAGTTGGAGATAAGAGTCTCGGGACTTTCCTGCCCCGGCTGGCTTTCAACTGCAATCCTCAGATCTCGGTCTTCTGAATAGCTAGGATTACAGATGTGAGCCACTGGTGCCTAACCACCAAATCACTCAAAATAGTGGTAAATACAAGGACTTAGAAGGAGAAAGAATGTCCAAAACACATTTCAGAAATGGCTAGTATTTTTTATTTAATTTAGTAAGCCTAAAAGAAAAAGCATAGGCAGTAACTTTTACTAGTCAATAAAAAGTAATTCTACCAATCAACTGGTAATTAATATACTAATCGGAGTTGGAGAGTATTTACTAAAAGCAAAATATTTAGAGAAAAATAGACATTTATATAAAATTATAAAATGCTTGTAATAAGTGCATTTCAAGGAAAGCACAAACTTACTTTAATTTATAGAGCCAGTTAAAGCCTTAAAAATTTTAAGTGGAAATTTAAATGCAAAAATGTATAAACATTCTACAAAAGATGGTCATTCTTTCCTGAGTGTTCTAAAGCTATGAAACACAAGATAGGAAGGTAGAAGTTTGGGAATGCTTTCTTAAGGACATTTCCTTTCTACACACTGCTTTCCTCCTTCTTCATATTCTTGCTTTGAAATCCACATCTGTTGAAAGGTGCCCTATAAAAATGAAAAGAAATACTATATAATTATACTTGATTTTGCTAACTCAAACCCTTAATAACTTTTTTTTTTTAAATTTTATTTTATTTTATTTGAGAACATACTGTACAGAGGGGTTACAATTACATGGTCAGGATAATGCATACATTTCTTACCAAGCATTGCAGCCTCCTCCTTTGTTTACCCTTCACCTCCCTTCCCACCCTCCCCCCTCCCCCCCACCCAATCATACCCCCCCCCCCCCCCGACATTGTAAAGCTGGTTTTGACATGACATTTTGTACTTCTCATTGTTGCAACAGGTCCACCTGAATCCTTAAACGACTTGTTTGTCCCCATCTCCTCCACATGTTATACTGACATCAAATATAGTGAAAGCAGGGGTTACACTGTGGGGGAGGGACATACAAAGCAACCAAGAAATAATCTTATAAATGCGTTAGAAACACATGCATGAAAGAAACAAAAACATTAAAATACATATTTGAGGGTTTGTTTTCCTAACATCACATTCTCTGACTTTTTCCGCTTGACTCATACCTATACTAGATATTGCAAATAAGGGAAACCATGGGACCTATGTTCCCTTAATAACTCTTAACCTCCTCCGTCCAAATTACTCCGTCCCCATTACTCTTATTTTAGCTCTATTCTAGAACCATCAGAAGGAAGATAATATTTAGCTTGACCTTTAAGGTTTAAAAGTGTTAGCCATTGCAACAATGAGATGTACAAGTCATTATGTCGAAAATGAACTTTACAACTTTGGTGGGGGGGGGGGGGGCGTGGGAGGATTGGGTGGGAGGGGGGAGGATGGGAAGGGATGGGAAGGGGAAACAAAGGAGAGGCTACAATGCTTAATAAGAAATGTACTCATTATCTTGCCCATGTAATTGTAACCCCTCTGTACAGTATTTTTACAATAATAATAAAAAAAAAGTGTTAGCCGGGCGCCGGTGGCTCACACTTGTAATCCTAGCTACTCAGGAGGCTGAGATCTGAGGATCGCAGTTCAAAACCAGCCCGGGCAGGAAAGTCCCTGAAACTCTTATCTCCAATAAACCACCAGAAAACCGGAACTGGCGCTGTAGCTCAAGTAGTAGAGTGCTAGTCTTCAGCTGAAGAGCTGAGGGACAGCACTCAGGCCCAGAGTTCAAGCTCCACAACCGACAAAAAAAAAAAAAAAAGGAGTGGGGGGATGCCACATGTGTCTCTGTGATCAGGTCCTGTGTCCTGTGTCCTGGCTCGTCTCCAGGCATTATGGAGTCCCAATTCAGCTCTCCATTGGAGCTGAACTGGCTTGTTGGTATTGTTCTTGTTATTTCTTTCCTCTTTAGCCTGTTTCCTAGCTGTGTTATGTGTATTTGGGTGCTGCAGGCCTTTGTAACAACTGGCTGCCTGCTAACTGTATGATAAAGACTGCAATATTCTATATATTTTTTTAAAAAGTGTTAAATTTTTTCACCCCTGTTACATTGTGTAAGATTTAGAAGGGGCTGGGAAGGTGGCTCAGTAGTAGAGCGCTTGCCTTGCATGCCTGAGGCCCTGGGTTCAATTCCTCAGCACCACATAAGCAAAAAGAAAAAAGCCGGAAGTGGCACTGTGGCTCAAGTGGTAGAGCGCTAGCCTTGAGCTGAAGAGCTGAGGGACAGCACCCAGGCCCACAGTTCAGGCCCCATGACCAGACCTCCCCTCCCCCCCCCAAAAAAAATGATTTAGAAATGGCAGGCAAAGAGAGGGCTTAGGTGCCAACCTACAACAAGAACAGAAATTGCTGGAGAGCCCGAGTGAAATATATGTCTTTTTTTTTTCTGTCGGTCATGGGGCTTGAACTCTGGGCCTGAGCGCTGTCCTTCAGCTCTTCAGCTCAAGGCTAGTGCTCTATCACTTAAGCTACAGCACCACTTCCTGTTTTTTTTTTCTGGCAGTTTATTGGAGGTAAGAGTTTCAGGGACTTTCTTCCCCGGGCTGGCTTTGAATTGTGATCCTCAGATCTCAGCCTCCTGAGTAGGATTACAGGCATGAGCCACCGGTGCCCGGCTTGTGAAATATATTTCATCTCTGGAGATTCAAGGGGCAATGATGTTCCACATCCAGGATCCAGAAAATACTGTATTTACCTCATTAACAATCCAGGCAACAACTGGAGACTTCAAGAAGGGATGGCTTAATTTTAAATGTACTGCCGACAAAGCCCGACAGCAGCCTTCTAAGAGGCATGTTAGTATTTCTACAGCTGAGAGGGCAAATCAAAAAAACGTGATAGCCAGGTGCTGATGGCTCACACCTGTAATCCTAGCTACTCAGGAAGCTGAGATCTTGAGGATGATGGTTCAAAGCCAGTTCAGGCAGGAAAGTCCATGAGACACATCTCCAATAAACCACCAGAAAACTGGAAGTGGTACTGTGGCTCAAGTGGTAGAGTACTTGCCTTGAGCTGAAGAGCTGAAGGACAGCACCCACGCCTAGAGTTCAAGCCCCACAACTGATAAAAAAGCAAAAACAAATGACCACTATTTAAGACATTTTGTTATATAAAACTGGAACTTTTTATTTTGGTGCCAGTCCAGGGACTTCAACTCAGGGCCTAGCTACTGTCCCTGAGCTTTATCGATTAAAGCTGGCTATTACTTGAGCCACTGCTCAACTTCCAGCTTTTTGATAGTTAATTGGAGATAAAGAATCTCATGGACTTTCCTGCCTGGGTTGACCTCGAATCTCGACTCTCAGATCTCAGCCTAATTCTGAATAGCTAGTATTATAGACATGAGCCAAACAGCACCCAGGTAAAACTGGTGTTTTTAGGTCCTCCAGTCACTTGATAGTTAGAAAATGCAAAGATAAATGCAGTACTGTAATTTTCTTTTCTGTTACTCATGGGGTTTGAACTCTGGGCCTGGATGATGTCCCTCAGTATTTCAGCTCAAGGCAAGCTCTCTACCATTTGAGCCATAGCACCACTTCCAGTTTTCTAGTGGTTTATTGGAGGTAAGAGTCTCATGGACTTTCCTGCCTGGGCTGGCTTTGACCACAATCCTCAGATCTCAGCCTCCTGAGTAGCTACGATTATAGGTGTGAGCCAATGATGCCTGGCTTTGTAATTATTTTTACTAATACAGTATTTCCAATGGTATATTTACATGAATTTAATTAAGAGTATTTTTTTTGTCAGTTGTGGGGCCTGATCACTGTCCCTCAGCTCTTCAGCTCAAGGATAGGGCTCTACCACTTGATCCACAACACCACTTCTGGCCTTTTCTGTTTATGTGGTGCTGAGGAATTGAACCCAGAGCCTCATGCATGCGAGGCAAGCACTCTACCACTGAGGCCACCTTCCTAGCCCTTAAAAGTATTTTTGTAAAATAGCTTCTCTACTAACCAAAGAAGCTAGAATGGAGCCACCAATCCATGAACTAAACCTTCGTTCCACTGTTGTGTTATTTGCAATCAATTTCAACCGCATACTCTGAAATAAGGAGGAAGCAGTAAAATTAAATACAAGAAATCAACTTAGGAAATTAAATTTTGATAAACTTATTTTTTTATGTTTTTCTGTGATTTAACCATTGATTTTTTTTTTTAAACAAGGTAATACTAAGACTAAAAGACTTATATTAGCCTATCATGGCTAGACTATTTCATGGAAAAGTTTTTAAAGATACCCTGATTACGGCTTTTAATAAACATGTAAATATAAAAAAAAACTGCTTAAGAAGACAAGATTTACAACTTAAATTCTCCAGAAGATATACTTAACCACCATAAATAATATACTGTACTAAGTACTTTATACATTATTTCATTTCTTTGACCATGAAGTACCATTATTCTAACTGGCCTTCCATACTGTGATCACCTAGGCCTTGTGCTTCAGCACCTAAAAGCCATTTCATAAGTTAGCAACCACTTGA